GAGAGAGAGAGAGAGAGAGAGAGAGAGAGAGAGAGAGAGAGAGAGAGGACCATGCGAGAGTCCACCTTTATGGTAGTTATTAATATCAAATAGTCAGCCACCGTGTCCATTATGGACATAATGGGACACCATTTTTTGCCGCGACAATGAGGCACCCCGTTAAAACGCTCGATGTATTTGCATTATTTATGCGGATGATTAAGCCCCGTGTAATATATTCGACGGCGCTGTGGAGAGAACGGGGAGGAGGGTGAGGGGGGGTGAGAATGGGAGTGGGAGGACGTTAAACAAAAGTCACGTGAAATAGCGATCACGCGAGCACGCGCATTATCTATGCACGCCGAAATGCGGGAGATTTATGAAAGATTAGACTGCGCGCTGCAAGACTATCGCCGATGCAAGACGAAATTGAGTTCCGCCAGCGGTTAGTTAGGCAGCGGGTGATTCTTTTCGTCCGTAGGAGCAAAAGGAAAAGCGCGAATCATAGCAACGTCGTATATCAAAGTTGACGCAGTACTTCAAAGGATACGCGCGTGTCCTGCCTTCTCGTTAGATTAATTAATATTCTACGCGATATGAAATACTTCTATACCGTTAACTACCGGTCCCGCGCACTTTATTCGCCGCCTGCACGCGGTATATTATAAATCAACATGACAATCGTCTAACCTCTCTCTCCCTCTCTCTCGGTACTTCCAGGATATATAATCAAATATATATCCTAGAGTAAGTACGGTTGTATTAATAGCATGGCAACAAAGTGTGCCGTATAGCATAGGCGCGTAAGTATCGGGGAAGGCAATGTGTGCATAATTAGAGACGCGTCTACTGCCCGCTAATTAGTTCAAGGGAGCGTAAAAGCCGACGAGTAGGACACATTTTACGCGCGTTCATTTTCCCCGGCGAATTAATTGTCGCTTATTCCCCGATAAAATTCGGATTACAGCAGATATTCGCATTACAGCAGAAATCGCGAGAATCTTACACTCCAGACATAAACAGGTGCTCCGAATACGTATCGCTAATTAATTTCCGCAACCGGTTCTCGCACTTTTTCCGCGCCTATTGGCCGATCATTTGTTATCCTAAATTATTACACACGAGTAACTTGTCTATACACTGTAAAAAATTTGTGTAAAATTCCATGTAATTATGAGACCAAGTATTATAGTTGTAAATTTATCAAAATGTGTCTTTCGTCTATATAAATATATTTTTATGCGATAATTATGCGTGTGTAAATTTACATCTATAATAGTTGGTCTCAAAATTATCCACTATAATAGATGTAATTTTACACAAATTTTTTACAGTGTACGCGGCTCAGCTGTGCAGAAATTTTGTACTATCGCAAGTCCCCGCCAATCGCACCCAGTCCCATTCCCATCAGTTCGTTTAGAACGCGATCTGATTCTTTCCGACTTGCGCTATTTATAACTTAAAAGTCTTAAAAGAACGCAGATACACATTTGATATCCGATAAACAGAGAAGAAAGATTGTACTAAATGATCAAAATAGTGCAGGTACGAAGCTCTATTGTTTAACGAAATAAACGACTAGGAGTCTCAAGCCTATCTGTTCAGACCGATTTCTACCGAATGCCAATTGTTGACATTCTGACAAGCGCCCAAAACTTAGCAAAGGCCTTAGCAACGAAAATTCCTAACCGTAAGGCTATATATAAATTTTCAATTGTGTTGCTCTATCTGATTGTATGTATTGGAAATTTATGGAATTACGGTTCAGACTTTCTAACATGCAAAGGCCTTTGCTAAGTTTTGGGCGCCTGTCAGAATGTATGAAAGTGACAATTGGCATTCGGCAGAAATCAGTCTGAATAGGTTACGATTAGGATGCTTTTTGTTGTGCAAAGGCCTTAACTCATATGGCTCACTCCTGAGCAGAAAGATAGTCCGTAAATTTTGAGGGGAGTTTGTGAACTGCCTGTCTTGTCCAATGAGAAAATTCGTTTTCCAACGGCAGAATTCTTTCATGGGCGAAAACGGATGAGTTCGTAAACTCAATCAAAAAATTACGGACAACCTTTCTGTCCACGAATGCACGGAGTGTTTTCCCTTCTCGTTGAAAAATCTCGATATACTTTACCCTGCGAGCCCTCAAAATATTAGCAACACCGCGTACAAATGTCCCGTAGTTATGTCCTAAATAACATATACGCATCGAAAGATAGGAGATAACCGACACGCGCTGGAGGTCACAGTTCGCGGCACCAGCGACGCCCAGAGGTTGTCCTCCTGTGCTGGGCGTAGACCGTAAACCCGATCCTGACTTGCGCCTTGGTGGGCACAACCGCCCATCCGCCCGTGGTAGATTGGCGCGTGCCTGGCGGCCTGGGTCTCCAATGATAATAAGTGATCCATCAGCACCAATGGTGCGCTGGTATCCACGAGGGAACGTTTGCCAGTGGCAGAGCTCCGGACCTACGTCCGCATGGTAAAGCCATGGTTCGAGGAGGGAGAGAAGGCGGCACCAACAATATGGTGGGAGAAGTCGACACACCACCATTGGATCGACAGAGACCATGAGGAGACGAGAACGTGTGCGTTCCACCGAGTAAGATGGAAGATCCGGGGCTCCGAAATCAGCCGAGTCGGCCCTCGTGCGCCAGCGAGTCCTTACTCAGTCCTGCTGTGAACGCAGCAAGGAGCACCACGGGTATTACAGCTTTTCTGTTTCTCCGAGACGCCGACGACTACCACGACGTTGGCGACGTCCTTACAGACGCCGCCAACGTCCTTGTTGATACGCGCGTGAACGACAGTACTTTTTGCAAATCGCGTCGGACCTATCGGCTGAGACAAACGAGTCGCAGCGCACGGAACGAGTGCTTCGAAAGTAGAAAAGTGCGAGGCTCACTGTACAGAAGGGTGGGTGATCATCGATCGGAGATACCCGTCGCTTGAATTTCAACGGGAGCGTCGAGTGATGCGCGATAAGAGAGACCGCGTTCGGGATACGCGGTCGTGTGATATCGTTATACGATAATACGTGAACTTGCATGTCAGTCGCAACGCGATGAGACGCGATGCGTTATTGTGGAGTACTTGTAAATATATCCAGGAGGAACCTGACGATGGACTGTGCTGTGCATAAAACTGTACGTAAAAGACCATTGAACTTCGAACCAAGTGCGCACGAACCGTGGACTTAATGACGCGCGACGAGCACGTGTTTTAATCGTTGGATCGTAAACATTTTAAGATCTCGATTATCTTTGTTTTATAGTAGATAATTAACGTAAAAAGTATAAATACACATAGATATATATATATATATATATATATATATATATATATATATATATATTTAAAAAAATATATATACATATATATTCATACATTTAAATGTATGTGTATATACATAATATTGGAGTTCGATGATAATATCGCATTCCCGACGACGCGACGACACGACAGCCATATCGCGATTGGCATCGTTTTCTTGTGATAATTCCCCGAAGTTAAAGCCGCGCTCATCACGATGAATGGTTACCTCGATGGCGTGTCACCGCACCCGCACCCGCTCACGAATCTGAGCCTCAAACTGTCGCCCGGAGGCGGCGGCGCGACCGGAGGATCGAGCGACATCGGCGGCGGCATTCAGCCGACCCCGGATGAGGCGTCCTCTCAACAGCACCATCATCACTTCCACCCCCAGACGTATTCGTCGCATCATCCTCACGCAGCATCCCACGTGACCCCGCACATGGGCCATCACATGTCCCACCATCCGAGCTACACGCGGGAATTCCTTCTGCGACGGGAGCACGATTTCCCGACGGCGAGTCCCACCACTCCCGAGAGCGGCCTAGGTCTGTTCCCGCAGCTGCACCATGACGGCACGGCCGCGACGATGCAGCAGTTCCCGCACCATCCCGGCCAGCATCCTCTGGCGGCCGGCCACTACGCCGCGCATTATCCCCAGGACTCCAGGCTACCGCCTCCCCAATACCTCAGCGCGTCTCACCTGCCGCCCTCGTCGATTCACCACCAGCAGCACCCGGTCGTGGGCCACCCGCCTCATCATGCGAGCTTCATCAGATACATGAGGAACAACTGCACCAGCGGCGGCGGCGGCGGCGGCGGCCCGATCAGCGCCGTCGCCGTCGGCCAGCGTCACGACATGTCATGCATGTGGATGGATCAAGATGGCCCGGGCAAGAATATCTGCGGCAAGACTTTCAACACACTCCACGACATCGTGGCGCACCTCACGGTGGACCATGTGGGCGGACCCGAGTGCACGACGCACGCGTGTTACTGGCAGGGCTGCTCGCGTAACGGTAGGGCCTTCAAGGCCAAGTACAAGCTCGTCAATCACATAAGGGTACACACCGGCGAGAAACCCTTCCCTTGTCCATACAATGGATGCGGCAAAGTCTTCGCCAGGTCGGAGAATCTCAAGATACACAAGAGAACGCACACCGGTGAGTACCCGTCGCTTGTCACTCTCTTTCCCTTTCGTAAGTGAACTCACAGGATCGCGCGCTACCGCGCGTCACCTGTCCGCTACCCACCTCGACTACCGACACTGACGACGCGCAACGTCGATATCGAGCGACAGGATCTAATTAGGCTCTCGTATAGGTTTTATCCACGCGAGAAATCGGGCGGAGGTAGCGCGCGCGCGACCGTCTCTCCGCGGCAGCGCTCTCTCTCTCTCTCTCTCTCTCTCTCTCTCAGAGGATTCCATCCTCGGGAATTTCTCGGATCCCATCAGCGTGATCCCATCGCGATCTCGATGGCCGGGCTTACTCCCGAATCAAACTGCGGGTGCCCTTTCCACGAACCGATTCGTCTCGACGTCGAGAAGCGTATTAAAGCCCCTGTTTTCATCGTCTACCCGCAAACCGTCAAATCGCATAAATTATATCCACGTAAACCGGCCGCTTCGTGGCGTGAGTCATTCCCGGATCGCCGAAACGGCCGAGCGCGAGAATGATTAATTCGAGAACGGCCACTTGCTCCGTCTCCCGAAGGTTACTAAGCGGACAAAGCCGAGGAAAGTGAGCGCGTCGTGTCTCCCTGTCTCGTTGGCGATCTTGGTTTCCTACCGTGATCGCGGAGGAGGTTACCGCTAAGGTCGCATAAATAACTACGGGGGCAGTTATTATCGCCGTGTCTCTACGCGCTTTATCCCGGACTCCTTTCTTTTTTGGTCTAGTTGTCTCATCCGTGGGACGCCCCCGGCGCCTCGAGCCGTTTCAATACAATCAACCGGCTGTTTACGATGACAAGAATTTTTCGGAGCGCAATTAAGAAATTACCGGGCCATATATCGTGTCGTTTTATGCCCGCAGCCCTGGACATTGTATTTACATATTTATTCGACGAACGAGCATGCCCATTGGCCGATCCGACGGCTAGAGACGCCCGGCGCTCGGGCATCTCGTTGCCGGGACCCGTTGTTGTTGTTAGAGGATTCCTCTCTCCAAACTTACTGATTTCACCGTGTAATCTCATCGCTTTCTACCTTGTTCCCTAGCATTCTCGCGAGCCACCTGTTTTCCGGCTCTTACAATCAGTCAGCCACGATAATCGCGTAGCAGTATATAAAGTAAATAAAACACGTAAAGTGCTGCTGGAACGTCAACATAAAATCACTTGTTTCAAGCAATAATCGTTAAGATTATTCAACATAAAGGTGTCTATCCTTTAAGAGGGATGAATCGCGAGCGTCGAGACGGAGAGCAATTTTACAAACAGTACTGCAAACGCGAGAATTTTACGAGACAAATTCTACCGTTAAATTCCACGGATAAATTCCGCCTGGAGAATTGTTTCTCGTAATATATCTAAAATAATCTTAGCTACCGGAGCTGTAAGAGAAACATAAACACGGCTCGAAGCTTGTAGTTACATCGGAGAGGAATCTCTGCCGTGAAGTCACGATGAAACTAAAACTATCCGTTCCCCTCGGAATGTCTCAAGCGTCGAGTCGCTTGACTATTGATTTATGTAACACTTGAAAGTTCCCTAAATTCGTGTAAAGCGATTCGACTTTCTGCGTGCTACCTGACTACTACACCCCCAAACATTTGCCAGATACGTCGCCGCGTATAAGCCAGCAATATTTTACAGAGAAGGTGACTAGGGCCCGTATTAATAGTCATCTCTTAAAACTCGTCTCTCGCATAAGATACTTAGATTTCAATTTGGAGTTAGATGAAAGTTTTTTAATTGAATATCGCGCAACCACAGACACAAGATTCGTATTAACAGTCGTCACTTGAAACCTGTCCTACGTGAAACACTTAAATCTAAATTTAGAGTTGGATGAAAGTTTTTTATTCGAATTATATAATAATAATTATAAAACGCGACATTAAATTTGCAATCGCGATTCAGCCGAGGAGGCTCAGGTCTAACTCTAAATTAAGATGTGAGTGCCTTATTTGAAGCAATTTTCAAGTAACGACTATTACGGACCCGAACGCCACACTTATCATAATTCAACTGAAGAACCTGAATCTGAATAAAAGTCCGAGTGTCTTATCTGAAACAAGTTTCAAGTAACGACGATTAATACCGACCTAGGAGAGATCTATCAGACATACGCGCGCGCGCGCGCGCGCGCACGTACGTCCCCTTGTCGTAATCTGGGAACACGTGCGGCAACGTGCCGGATATGTATAATATTTCGCGCGCCCGCCCGCTCTTAATGACTTTTAATAATGAAATTGCGCGGGGGTATACACGTACTACACACGCATTGGAGGGCACCGACACCCGCAGGTGCTCGTATTTTCGTTCGCACGATGCGGATTCGCGCGCTCATCGTCGCAACCACCCTGCGCTGCGTCGGAGGGCCGGGGGGGAGGAGGCAGGGGGAGCCCAGCAGTATATCACGTGTGATTAAATTTCGTTTTCATTTATAACAAACGCCACCCTTCCGACGCCATTGTAGAGCGCGAGCTCTCTTTCCCGTGGCACCCCCTTGTCCCTACTCGGTGCACGCTTGACAGTTTGGGACTCGCCCAGATCGACGCTGCTTGCCACCCTATGCGCGCGTTGAGATATGGTATATTGTAGCAGCAACTATTGTCCCCTTATAGAGCGGTTAAGGCCGCTTCGAAATCGCGCGGATATTTATACGCTCGCCATAAATATTGACGGACATCGCGCGATTCGATGTCTCGAGAGACACGCGAGCTATGTCAGAGACGAGAAATCCTTCTCCGTTGACGCAAGCGTCAACTACACGACTACTCTGTCGCGACTAATGTGTGTTGAGTCCCGATTTCGGACTCACTTTGCGAAATGCTCCCCAGTGGGATCTAACACGAATGTAAGATTTGTAAGTTTAAGTGCGCCTGTGTCTCGGTGCAAGGAGAGAGAGAGAGAGGAAGAAAGCTGCGTAAACTTGGTTAAAAACGATCAAAAATCAGCGGGCAACGAGACGAATTAAAATTCACTTCTGCTCGCCTACGTGACAACGGTGGGACCTCGTTGAAATAAATTGGCGTTTTCGAGAAACGATCCTCTCAATTCATGCACGGCTTCACGCATTGTTTTCACGCGTCACCTCGCTCGTGAACGTACACACGCGTATTTTCGCACATCTCTTTATTATACCTCTTTGCGCGCGCTTCTCCCTCTTTCTCTCTCTCTCTCTCTCTCTCTTTTGATTCTTTTTCACGCTGTCGAAATACGCAAATACGATTTGGCAGCGGTATTCTGTCGCTTAGCAAGTGGCACGGTAAATATTTTTCCCACTCGCAGTCGTGGCATTCAGGCGCAAAGCAAATTTGAACGGTCGAACGCTTCTATTCCTATTCTGCGTTTGTGTTTACTTCGCGGTTCCTCTGACAGAAATTTATCTCACCACATGGAGGGAATATTGCAGTTTCCTTTTGTTTCGTATAAATTCGCGTCAATTTTACTACGTTTTTAGTAGTCCAAGAATAGCCTGTCGGTAGGGTTTATCTTGCTAAGGAACATAATAAATTTCGCTAGAAGTACAACAGATTCGCCGGGAACACACACAGCAAGTGTGTTTCAACAGCACATCTCAGTTCCCAAAGCGTAAGTAGCACGTATGAACTGAGAGGGTAGTGTGTTAGTGCGGAATGTCGATCTATTCCGCAGCTACAAAGTTCTACAGTAATTTTTGCTACGAAATTATTCTCTCTTCGTGCGAATATCATCGACTTGTTCCTCGAGATAGTGTTCCGAGCTCCAATAATGTAACAGCCGGATTCACCTCATCCTAAGCAATGTGAACTCACAAAGAAGCAATTTTTACAATGCGATCGTCTCGGATTACACCGCGGTATTATGTTATCGTGTAATGGTGCTTTGACACCATGAGGGATTCCAAGCACAAATAGTCAAGTACGGGACTTGGTGACGTTGCGTTTAACGATGATCGATGGAACGCCGCGGCCATTAGCATAGAAATGATTTCGAGTCGCGGCATCGGAACGCCAGCGCGCGGCCGTAGCTACCACAATGCTCTGCGGATTGATGCGGACTAAATTATCGTCGTTGCCCCGCGGTCTCTTCGCAAACGCGAACACGACATAAAGAACAAATCGTAGAGTAACTGTTAACCGGTTGCAGTCTGCTCACCGAATGATCGGGAAAATAAAGCGCTATCTCTCTCTCTCTTTCTCTCTCATACACTCGAATCGTTCTCTCCTCATCGAAGAAGATCGGCCCTATTAATCCGCAGATGCGCAGACCCGGGGTCCGTCATTAGACCAAATTGATATGCATTTTAAAGCAGCTTACTCCTTCTCCTTCTGCCCTCGCTCCCGCTCTTCCTTTCCCCCTTTCTCCTCCCCCCCTAAAGCAAAAAGATGCGAAGAATAGTCTGTTACGCGTAAAGCCGATCTCGCGTGTGCGTGGAACGAGCAGCGGCGATTGGCTCGATCGACAATGGATCCTACGGCTTGTACGGCATTGGTCAGGATTTTTCGAGGGTTAGACGCACAGAATAGGGGGATGATACGCGGGATGAGTCGCCGTGGGGTGTTGTAGAATAAGCGTTAAGTAGGGGACGAGCGTGTCGAAGAGGGGCCATACGCGACGCGCAGGCGAGTAAATGGCTACTTACTTACTCAGGCTGCAACGCGGGTCGCGCGTGAAAAAAGAAAAAAAAAAAGGAAAGAAAGAAAAGTGTGCACCAACCGGTTCGGCTGAGCCCTTAATTGTCGCGCAGTGACGATAAACGGAGCGAAAAGTGCTCCCTCCGTCGATCTCGCCGATTTCTTCGGCCATTTTTCCTCGACTTTCCCGTCGTTTACACTTCAGATACGCACACACATACACACACCGTGTGTATCCCACCCTCTCTCACGGAGCAACGTACGTCGTTGCTACCACTATTTTGTCGGAAGTCACGGAGCCCTCCAGAAACGACTTCGGAGGAGTTACCGTTTCTACGACCGATCCGGAGGGCCGATCGTGCCGCGCCGTGAGTTGC